GATCGATTAAATTAGGACCCCAATGGCTTACTTTGTTCGAGCTTTATGCTAAATGGATGCATAATTTTATATTTATCTCATATCGAACACATAACATAGCACAGCTATGAAAGGTTGCTAAAAAACACGGACTGTTGTGATCTCCTCGTTGGTTTGTTTGTTTGACGGTCAGCCGACCGGCCGGCTGGTCGGACTGGGCGTTCATCACGTATGCATAAATACAGCCACAGATTCCAAATACTCGCATGGCCCAAGGCGTGAATTGACGACGGTTGATTGCTCGCTCATCTAGCCATCCAGCCAACCAGTCGGACGACCATAATTAATGCACATCTGGATTTTCACACTTTCTGCAAATTGTAAATTGAAGCAATGCCGCAGTAAAATGGCAACAACAACTGCATGTGCGTAGGATTGTTTTAGCCACATAGTCGCTCGTATAATTGTGGCATAATTTAATATTTGACACTTTCGATAATACTCTTGTCGTAGTCCACTGCCGGTGACAGCGACAAGCCCGCAGCGCTTAGGTGTATTCTGCAGTCACGGGGACGAATGTACACACATTCAACATAATAGACTAGCAACAGTCCATCACTGGAGTGTCCAGAGTATTTTGCTCTAGCACATGGTCAGTCCACATAAATTGAACTAATGGAACGAAAAAAGAACCCAAAAGAAATATTACCAAGTGTCCCTTTTGGTATTTCTATTTTGGTTTTCATTTCAAACCGTAAAAGTATCTACATATCGGGATTTTATTGTTGTCGTTATTAAAATGCGATCATTTGTCTGCCGAAGTAGAGAAAACAGTGTTCTTCAATATTCATATCGACGATCAAGATCACCAAACTTGTGAATAGTGCAATATTTAAATATGCCGATATTAACGCAAATGTACACGCGCCTAGTGCTGAGCAAAATATAGATAATGCAGTTGTGCAAATTATTTCAAATCTCATATTTTACACAATATTTACAGCAAACAAATCTGAATATATTAAGGACTACCAGGCATGTAAGACAAAATGTACAAAATAAAGTATTTCTGAAACGATGCTATAACATATCCGAATAAAGGTTTATTAAAAAAGGAAAAATGTGCCAAGGGAGTGGTTCACAATATAAGCTCAGTAACTTTATTTCAGAGAGTAAGCCGTTTTTATTCTCTTTTGCAATAATACTGAGAATGTTGTGCTGGACAAATCTTACTCAAAGTAGCTCTCTCTGTTCGCTCTCTTCTACTGGACTTCGGAGTAAACAGTACCATTTGATAATAATTGTTACCAAGTATCGACTAAACAGGCACAGCAATTATGTACATTCGGCTACAAAATAGCATTCATGATCGATCATACAGTTTCGAAGAAGTATTATTACGAACACTGTGACACGAATTAGGTATCTTAAGTTTGTGTGGCCCTCATTAATTTGTAGTACCTAGAAATATTATGTCGATCTAGCTATGTTTGTCTGTACGTCCACAGGTACCTTATAATTGTATATATATTTTTGTGACTGTCGGTTAATATTTTGGAGAAGCGATCTAAATAAACTCTTGATCACACTCTAACGAAATATTACACGGACAATGAGGTTTGACCAGCAAATAAGTAAATTCAGTTAATCATTTATTTATGTAATAAATTCAAAATTGTCTTCCATTTTTGAAATGTTTACGGCAGGAAAAATTACTTGTTTAATATGTGGTCATATTTAGAAGCTATACTAAATTTTTACAGATGTATTCATCTGCCTGTTTAGTCCATGCGTTTAGTCCATGTCAGCGAAAGTGACTTCAATGTGAAAATTAAGAGCTGTACATTCTACATTAAGAGGTGTACACTAAAGTATATTTTTCAAAAATGATTTGCTGTGCCAGAAATTAATGAACTTTTATCTAATAATGACTAATATGACGTTCATTCCTTAAAAAAGGCCAAGCTATTTTTTATAGAATTATTTAATCATTTAGATTTTATATAATCTTAGGTGATAACAGTTTAACCCAATTTTGCTAGCTCCATAGTGTAACCGTTTATGCCGTCAGGCATTCACGAATATATTCATGGTTGTTGGAAAGTCATCTATCTATGACAAGTAAAAACGTCGGACCGAACTTTTTTAATTAAAAATTCGGGACTATACAAGGTAGTCTCATGCAGTCATATGTTTCAATTTTTTTCATAAATTTGCTTTTGACGACATTCAGTTTTCAAAATTTAAACGAAAATATCTTCCTTCGAAATGTACGCAAATCATGTGTCCAGTGGCAAACATTTTTTTAATCATTTGTATTTATTAATATTTTTAAGTTCCTTGCCTATAAAACCTATAAACATAAATTGCAATATTCTTAGTTAAATATTGAGAACAATGTGGAGCTTTAGAAAAATATTTGTTATTTGTTTACAATTTGCCAATCGCATTTTATTTAAAATTGATATATGAATTCCATATTCTTGTATAGTTATGCCATGGGTGTGTACATGGTACAATGAATAGGTAGTCCATTTAGCGCAGCTGATGTCTTGATTAACTGTCAAAGTGGGTAGTTTCTAATTGAATTCGATGTGCAGTGTTGCCAACCATTTGAAATATTATATGGAAAAATTTGACAGATAATCGAGACAAAAACAAAGTTGTTGTTGTGATACATCACCTTATTATTGCATCATGGGTGTGTATGTAAATTAAATAGGAAATGTAACACATAATCGAACCCAATATTAAAAAAAAAAAAACAAATAACAATATACCGTTTAATTGACTCTGAAATAGTGTTTTCCAAGGCAATAGTTTCGACGTCGTTTTATAATAGATATGATCTATATATCAAAAACCATTTTGCGAATTCAAATGCAAGTAATTAATTTTTTAATTACTACAATATTTTGACAAATATGAAAGTGACATTTAATTTCCAATAAACTGGGTTTTGTAGAAGATATCGGCGAATGTCTTGCGGGATTACTAATCATGCGATCAATGTCATTGCTGAAAAATCTTTACGAAGCATTGATCTGAGTCACTCCTATCTTAAAAGATAATTTGGCGTCGAAGTCGTAATTCCTATATATCCAAACACGACCAACTGTGCTAATTAAATGTTGAAAAAAGTAAATATTACTCAACATATTTTTCGCAATTTTTTCGCGGATTTTAATTCTTAGCACGTTTCTGACAATTTGAATAATCAATATCGGTGCAGGCGTTATAATTATTCGAAATTTGTAAAGCTTCACAAACTGTATTTTTATGTACATATTTACGTCATGTTTATATTTATATATTTATACTGTCTAGTTTAATTTATATATACCTATTAATAATTATCCAAAAATACTATATAGAATACTATATAGTCTTTTAGACCTATGAAACATTGTATATTTATATTTACCTATAAATCGATCAAAAATAACGAATTTTTAACTATGTAGTTGGAAAGTAATCCAGGCATGAACAATGGACTACTGCCTAGCTCAACCCCATATTAAAATAATCAGTTGGAAAATGCACTAGTAGAGCTTATTAAAGCACTTGTTTCATTTCCCCACAGGAAAACATCTTCGAAGCCGATCAGTTATGTATGCCGCACATTTACATTTCACCACAAAACCGTTGCCGCTAACCACTAAAACATTCTATAAAATCTAAGAGAACACAAACATAAAGATGTTCTCTTAAAAACTTTTTACTTGGCAAACTTGGTCGAGTCGAAGTGACAACCAGATATACCAACGTCAGAATGACTATCATTTACTTTTCAAATTTTAACTAGTTTTTCGTTCCCGTTCGAGAACACAACATTCGGTTCCATTGTTGTGTACAAGTTTGAAAGCAACAATAACTTGGAAGGAATCTTCAATTCGTTTTACCTTCACATTCCATCAGAACAACAGCGGCGCTAAACCGTGCCATATAACAGTCGGGCTTTTACAACTTGACCATAGTATTGCGTATTGCTGTTACAAATCTTCAATCTTCTCTTTTCAGTCAGATGGAATATACCGTCCGTCCGTGAGTGCGTCCATACACACAACATAAAATCCTGCAACAATGTCTACACTCAACTTTTCAAATCAGTTTGAGTAATTGGGCACTGGGCATTGGATGTTGCATTTATGGTCCGTCACAAATAGCATGGCCCCAGTCCAAACGACTACATTTGGGGAGTAGTTGGTGATATTGCTCTGTTTTATGTGGTCAACGGCAGTAAAAATTGCTCTGTTCGAACATAAAAATCTTCGTTTAACGACAACAACAGCGAAGCACCAACATTGTTGCCAACATAACTCCAGATAAGACGGCAATCTCCGAATGTTAATCACAACAAAACATCGTCCGATCATCGTTAAAATTCGTTTAATGGCCATATTCATGTCAAATGCGGATCGTTGATGATTATTTTTTGCTATTTTGACCCAGCGTCGTGTGTTCGGTTTCATTGACCTCCCAGTTAGATGTGAAGCTGTAACAGCCCACCCTCCACCACCCTGCTCATGACAGACACATACTTACGACACGAAGTAAATAAAATTACCACAATAAAAATTATCCGAAAAATAAGAAAACTCGTATTTTGTTTCTTAAAAATGTAAATTATTTATTCAATTGCTACTTAAATGTGTGGATAAGAGTAGAGGGAGAAGGGAGGAATTTAAAATTAATAGTTAATTAGATTGTAATTGAAAGACTGTTATTCTACTGTACATCATTGACGTGATTGCATCTAAGTGATTCGTTAAGTAGTTCGGGCGAGTTTCCCATACTATCCATACCGCCTTCACGGTCACCATCTACAACCTGGTCCATTTTTATCAACGGTCTGTTTGGTTGCGACCTTTAGAGAAAGTCGGCGAGTGAGGTATACTTGAGTAAGAGTGTCGTGACGACTGCAGAAGCAGCAGGAATGGACTGTTTGTTTGCGATTATTTGCCAGAAGCCCGTGGCATCGTATGAAAGGTTTATGGGTTAAGTCTTGAAAAAATAAAAACTTTGGTAAAGATATCGATTATAAGCGTATGATTGCACATTGACAATTGGTTCTACACTGGGTTGATAGCACCAGAATCCGCGTAGCACCTTCGAATCAGCGTTCGTGCTTCACCAGCTGTATGGGAACTCTAGGTTGCTGGTTAGCATCGGAACCTGACGCCGAGGAATAGAAGCTGGCCTCGGCATCATTCGAATCGTCGTGGACATTTATTTCCTCATCATCGGAGTCAGAGTCATTAATTGAAACGGGCTTAGAAACTTGTTCGCTTGCCTCAGACAAGTGCTTGCCATTATCGGCGGCTGACAATGAAGCAGCTACGGCATATTGTCGTGCCAGGCCGAGGGCAAACGCAGCCGCAGAAGGCGTATTAACCAAGGACCTAAAAGCACTGTGTTCTCCGCCCATTGAGAGAGTGGGCGACCCTGTTGCTATAGCTGCGGCCAACTGTTGGTGTGATTCACTGCTCAATACGCCAAATGAAGTCGACGGCATGGCCAAGCTTGGCGATTGACCTTTGGCTAGTTGTTGGTGTTGCTGATGGTAGTGGTTAAGGAGTAAGGCCGCGGCAGCTGACTGTGGATCAGCGTGATGAGCATGCATATTTGACATGTGCGCCTGAAGTGAAGGCTGTGGCTGCATAGGCGGTCCAGCTGGATGACTTGGCTGAGCCGATGAATCCGAAGATGGGGGCGCTGAGTGCGGTTGCTGCGGCATACTTGACAGTTGATCATTTGGACAGGTTGAAGCATTACTATTCGTGCTAGGAGTGGGAGATGTTGATGTAGGATTGCTGCAAGTTTCCAGTGATTGTTGGGAATAGTGTGTGGCCGATGTATTACCCGTGGGACTCGAGCGCCGTTTTAAAAGATTCATTCGTTGATGACGACGCCATTTTGCTCGTCTATTTGAAAACCAAACCTATTTTGGGCGAAAGAATACAAACAGATACAAAAATCAGAACTTTCATTTTCTACCCTTTCACACATTATCTTCGCAACCAATCAGCATGCCAACTTACCTGTACTCTGGCCTCGCTCAACGAAGTGCGGCTCGATAGCCGCTCCCTAGTGCTCACACACGGGTAGTGACTTTTATCGAATTCCTTCTCCAATTCTTCCAGTTGTTCGGGGGTGAAAGTGGTGCGATTACGCCGAAATTTCGGCTCATCGTCATCGTCCAAATAATCGGAATCAATATGACGGCTGTCGTCAGGCGATTCAAGCGTATCGTGGCTGCCAGAACTGGGTGAAATTGCCCTACTTGTGTTGTTGACATTGATGGCCGACGTAGAATGATTTACCGTGGGCATGGCGGTTAACGGAGCGCCTGCACTTATAGCCGGAGACCAAAAGTGTGGCGATGATCCGCCCGTAGATGCCGCCGCTGCAGCGGCTGCTGGATGCCAAGAGAAACCCCCATACGGATGCGGAGGATACAGCCCGTAAGCCGCTGTGCGAGCAAATTCATTGGCCACCCGTTCCGCAGCTCGATTTCTTAAAATTCGATTTATAGATGAAACGGAGGGAGCTGTGGCATTGGTGCAAACACCTGCAAAATTACGCAATTATAACAAAACAAAAAATAACTTTTAACGTTCATTCACATCCATAATGGGAAGCTAAAAAAAGACCAAGGCGTCCGCCGTCAGATCGGCCATAAATCGTTAAGGCGATCATTGGGATAATCTCAAATCTCATCAATGACGACGTTTAACCGCAAAGCATACAGAACATCACAGAAGATCTGTCGGCAAAACAAATGCTCATGCACTCGCACACACACACACATACAAACTCATACCCACATGCCATGTATATTGCATTTGCATAGCGTTGTAGTTGGAACTCGCTTGCGTGTGTGTGTTTGTATGTGTGGCTTAGATGTGAGTTCAATTGAATGAAGCTTCCAACTAATCGACCGCGATCAATCACCATATCAAACGGACAAATAAGCAAGAAAGACGTATTAAAAAGATTACAAAGTCCGATAAGAAACATGAAATGTTTCCATGTGTGTGGGAATATTTTATTTGGCGTTTCGTTCCGTTGGCTTTGTAGCCATTTTCGGTCCATATTGTTACGCCCTGTCTTATAGCATGACATTTGATGCGGAGGGGGGTGGGTGCTTAAACAACTTACCTTCTGATATTAAACGCTCTCGTATCTCCCATGCAAATATCGTTGGGTTCTCGCGTTTGTATTGTTCGATTTTGGAAACTACTGTTGGAGTGGCCACTTTTGGCTTGGAGCCACCAATTAGACCAGGTGGTCGCAAGGAACCTGCAAACAAAGTCAATTATGTAGTATATCAATTTATCTCCTTTTGTTCAATTAGATATTCTCTGTTGATTCCAATAATTCTTATTGTCTCGGCTTGGAACAGAATGATTGGAAGCAACGCCCGAGCAAACTAAAACAAATGGACGTGGTATAATACAGGGCAACACCGAAGACACAACGCACGGTTGCTGATGTGATGCCTTATATCCGCTAACTCATCTTCCTACCGCTAAAATAACTTCATCGAAATCTGCGATGGCAAATTGCCACGCGTCAAACGTTTATGATAGGTTATTTTCGAAATACTGGTGCCAGGTACACTGAGAAGAAACAAATAATTGAAATCATTTCGAAGTTAAATGTGTTTTCAATGCGAAACTAGAAGCAATATACCTGAAAATCGCAGTAAACCCCTAAGTTAATTTAGTCGCGAACATAGCACATCTCTAAAGGTTATGCACATAATAAAAAAATTCTAAAACCAAGTCAAATTTATATGCATATACGCGTATGATAAAATCAATCACTTGTATAAAGGGCATCATTTTTTTCAGTGTACTTTCAGAGTCAGTGTTTATACTGGGTGTTACGAAAAGATCTTTCTAAAGCAAATATATTGATTAATGAACTGCAGGCATTTGGGCCAGTCGTTGTTACGCATTGTGGTAACAATGCGTTAATTTTTTGCGCCGGCGCACTCATTCGCAGAGTACACAATGATTTATTTATATTTTCTTGCCGCTTTGTGGCGGTAAAATGCTAAAGTCTCTTAGCAGAACTGAATATCACCATCCATACCTAACAGAACTGAATATCACCATCGACACACTAAGACTCCATATATTATTAAAAGGTATTAATATAAGTTAATACGATATTCTAAAGTGTCTTTATTTTTGTATGCCGTATAAAAATGAAAAGTGTTTTAATTTTGAGAATGATCGACCTTCAGTGTGTTAAATAGAAAACATTTTCAAAGTTGTCCCGATTTTTTAAGAAAAAACTAATATTTTTGGAAAACTAAATGAAAATTTTGCCACATACATGAAGGGGTTCGTTCGTATTCTTTAGAAATTTAAGAAAAAAATGGATGTATCCTAAAATGTTATTCTGATAACTACTTTAAATATTTTAAATCTGGCGTAAATGTAATATAAATGCTTTTCGAATATGTGGACCTATATTGATCATCTGAATAATTACAATCCTTATATGGAGTTGATTCCAAATTAATCGTATTATATTGGGAACATATGTAATTTTTTACAAAGTTTGCGATGTTAGCTAGGATATATAATTCCCACTTCAATTACAGATAACTCAAAGAAAACTTTAGTCAAATCGGTTCCGCCGTTCTCAAATTGATGAGCTACTATAAGTTTCTTACATAATTTTTATAAGTAGATTTTTATTAATTTTACTTCAATTTGATAAGATATAATTTTTTTCGTATCACTCCCACGCGCTAGTCACGAAAACAGGTTATGTATGAATTGTTGTCGGAATACTTAACGTCGATAAGCACCCAATCTCTAATCGGGCAAAATGCAACGAAAAACAGAAACACTCCTCACGACCCATTGAGCATATACATTAAGTTTGGTCAAAATCGGTGCAGTGGTTCTTGAGTTACGGCGCAAAAACACACAAAAACTAAATATTGCGCCATCTGTCGGATGAACTTTAAACTACACAGAAGCACTCCTCATGCCCCATAAAGGCTGAATATACAATTTGGTAAAAACCGGTGCAGTAGTTTTTGAGTTTAGCGATCACGAACATACACGTAATTTTTATATATATAGACATAGATATATATATATATATATATATAATACTTTTACATCTCATGTTTGAGAATTCCTTATTTTTTGGCATTTCCCATGTGTACAACCACGTCACGTCATTACTACATATGTAATAACGTATGTATGTAAACAACTGAGAGCTATTAAATGTTGTTTTCCTTTCCTTTGGAAATTTGTTAATGTATTTTTATGCATGCATGTATGTATGAGTGTACATTGAATGATTTGCTAACGGCAGTCACAATTGCGGCAACCAATCCCAGCCGCAGAAGCTAAAGATGATGATTTCAGTTTTGATAAATGATTGCGGTACGTGTTTGTTTTATTTTTTCAGTTCACCGTCTGTCCACATACGTATGCATACTTTACATGTGCCTGTATATGTGTGTACATCTTCTCAGCATGTAGAATGCCTTCTTTCATGCCGACTACAAACGGGCATTTGTCGTTGCCTCGTCCAACTCAAAACCCCAGAGTTGTGTTGGAATAAATTTTCATGTTTGACAATTAAAATACATAAACTGTGTTTATTTTTCCTTTGGCACTTCCGTAGAGAAGACAAGATAATTTCTCGCTTCCTTTTTTATGAAATGATCAGCATTGTGTGATAATTCATTTACACAAGACGGACGGACGAACGAACGAACGCCACACCGCCGCATAAAGAGAGTAAATAATTGGATTGGTCGCTTGAAAACAAAACCCACAATTAAGATAATGAATGCAATTCGCTTCGCATAAAGGTACCACCAAGGTACACATACAGGTATGATGCATGTGTACAAACATACAACGGGTGTGGCTATGTGTGTGTGTGCGTGTTTGGTTACACAACCGTGGATTGGTTAAATACAAGAGTATTGCCAGTTAAATGGAAAACAAACAGCATTTACTGTTTTCAAATCCTGCAAAAACAATTACTCAAAATAATTCATACTTATTGAATGACCACTTTTGAGCACAATTGGTCAATTTCACAGCTTAACCCAGATCGTACTGAAATCGTACAACAATCTTAACAAAGTGAAAATCCCTTATAGTCCATTGCTCGTATAGGGGATTTTCAAATATGGTGCATAGTTGTTTTGAACTATATCTAAAATGTTCTTATTATAGTCCGAAATTGAATTGACTCAAACATGGCAAGCAATAAAAAAATTGACCTCTGCATAACTTAGTCGCAATATACAATTTATATCGTATATTATTTTTATAGAATGAGTGTTTCGGATGTTCTACCGTATAGACCATTGAAGTGTCAAGCAAGAGTAGATAGGAACGTCATTGTCAAAATTTTACCGAACGCGGCGAGGTTATACAAAAAAAATATAGATTAAGTGTATATAAATTTTGAAAAGGATAATTTGAAACCCAAAAAGACACCAACTACTTTCTAATTTTTCTTTCAATTAACAATTCTCTGTGACTGTATTTGTAATATTTCATACATTTGTTCTTCAACTTATTTAATTACCATTTTGAGTTGCGGTAAATATTAATTCGAATTGGATTCACAAATCGTTCGACCATCGGCAGTCGAATAATGTACAATAAATGCACCACCATATTTCTGGGGAAATAAACCGACTGGCTATATATACATACATAGATACAGACATGTGTTTCAAGTAAATTGTCTAAACTTACCCAATAGCTTGGATACCGCACCCTGTTGTGTCAGCATGTGTTGGGCGATATCATATCCTCGCAAACCACTGAATCGTGATAATTCCAAGAGCCGCTGTTGAGATACCAGAGCACTTAGCGTGCTGGGGGATGGCTGGCCATTGGCTCCGCCTGTGAATATAGCTGATCCCGGTATTTGCCCGGAAGAAACCAGTCCCACTGAAAAATAAAGAAAATAACAACATGAAACACCCTCGTAATAATGGGCCATAGCAAACACACACACACACATAATGTCTAGCTCTGGCCTTTTTTAGTCCAATAAGTATACGGCACTCTTTGCCATGCAAACACGCCGCACTCGTATCCCCATATACAATAATGAACAACTTGCGTTGCGTGTCACCATATCACTATATCGGTGTGTTTTTGTATGTATTAACGTTGAAGTGTGTGTGTGTTAAATTACAACAATAAATAATTACTTAATTGAATACCTATAATTTGTGTCACACACAAAATAATTTATGTCAATTCTATTCCATTCAATTCCAGACGAATCAACTGAATACGCTTTGCTTTACCCGAGAGCTTGTCTCAGGCGGCATCGCATTATTTTCTCTGAACATTTTCGATCAAATAAAAACTTACACACATCCACTGTAAACAGCTTCCGTCCAATGAGTTAGTCATTGTTATTGAAATCCATATAATAATCCATGAATATATACAGCTATACATACTTATTTGTATGTATGCACATTAAAGTCACAATAACCAATATTTGGAGAAATACTTTTCCCAGATGTTATTGAGGTCAATATTATTACATACATATGTCAATGCTGCCATTAAATCATTCAATGTGAATGTAAGTTCATGAAAAATGTTCTACTAGAAAGTGAAGACCAATGCGTAAAACCGGTTTGTTGATATTTTAAAAAACTTCGAATGAAATGATCGAATAGAGCAAATGAATTGGTAAAATATTCGACTATTTCAAATTGTAGAAAGATCCATTTCAAATACGAGCTCGGTGATGAGAATTTTTCGCATAGTTTTCAAAGAGCGAATATTTTGCTAGACATTATGACCCAAAAGTACAATCGAAGAGTTATTATGTTATTGGGAAATGACGTCATATACAGGTTATTTTGAAGCGGGAATTACTTCATAATTGTAAGATATATTTTTTAAAGAAGATGGACTATATTTTTTATAATTCCAAATCACTTTTAAGAGTGGGTAGTTGGAACTTTCTTTGGGCGATGTTCGAAGCACATCTCAATAATCGATGATCTAATTGATAAATAAAATTATGCACAAATCATTTACCTAAAACATATAGGGTCTTAATTTGAACAAATTTGCATTACACCTCTTTAAGAAGTTATTCGATAGGTTTTTATAACAATTTCAAAAATATAATTTTTAATAGAAGAATCCCCTTTGTAATTCAAAACATTTCGAAGATTCCATTTGTAATTTTAATCAATTCAGTTGTAATCCCAATCGTTGAATTTTTTTTAATGTAATATTGAAATTATTCAAACTTTATTTTTTTTTTTTTTTAATTTCATTTAGAATGACCTGGGAAAATCGCTCAGATTTCCTTGGAATAATTTGTGTGCTACAGTCTCTAAATACAGTTATAGGTAAATTGCAAAATTTTTGTGGCAAAAGTTCAAAAATTTTTAATTATATTTTTGGCAAAAAACAGTTGTAGATTAGGGTTATGACTTTTTAACTTTTTTCTCAAAAATGATTTTAAAAAAATGTTTTATAATTTTTTTATCATACATACATAAAACGGAATAAGTATAACCTTTTATAACTTCCACAAAAAGCCACACAACTTTGGCCATAGATATCGATGAAAATTGTATGTATGTTCTTATTTATAATTTAGTTTAGGTATTTCGTGGATCTAAAGCTTCGGGTTAATTACATATGCACTTTAACGGCATATACATTAGAACTTTTTACCGGGTTAACCTACTTTATGAGGATTTATTTGACATATATGCACTCGGTTAACAAAATCCGGTTAAATGTAAACATACTATTACTATAAAAGACAAATTTTACAAAAATGCTTTCAAACGATTGTGTGTGTTTTTTAGAATCACTCATGGGTCTGGGATACAATAGTTTTAAATGATATAAACTTTTTGATATAAATTTTTACAGAAGGTTTCTCGAACATCAATCGATATGTTGAGCCGGTTATATTTGTACGGGTATGTTCTAGAAAACACGATGAGTTTTTTACACTTCACACATACACTTCCCATCAGAGTTACCTACTGTTCTGATTCACACGTGAATTGAAATTTTCGAACTTCTGCACAACAAAAACCAAAAAAGTCAGCATGTTACTTCGCAGAAATAGTGTTGCCATATAATATAAATTGTATTCGTTTTTAACATTGTTTCTGTTATTAGTAATTTTGTTAATTTTAACGTTTATTACATTATTATTTTAATTAATTAATATTTTATTATTCACAACATAAATTATTGGTCTGTTCCCGTACGGCAAGAATCTACTTGATTTTACTATTTTCTTCGATATCATAAAGGAAAAAAGTGTTATCGTAGTAAAAAAAAATAGTAGATTCTTGTAGTACGGGAACAGACCATATATGTATGAAAGACTCTGTAATATCAGTTCCGTTCCAGAACCTAAAAGAATCTACTAATTTTACAAGTTTTGCAACTTTTTACTCAAAAACCGTTAATTTTTTGATTAATTTAAGTGGAACATTTGGTAACCCTATCTTGAACGATATTATTCCAAATAAGCTGTTTTTGTCAAGCGATTGATTGATTCATTCCGAAAAAATGCAACACAAACTTTAGAATCAATTTAAAATTGGGGTTTAATGGTGTTTCATTTTAATTTTGTGATTTTAAACAAATTATACACAATAATAACATGTCATATCATAATATCTATCATCATGTGCATTTTTTATTTCAAAAATAATATTTATTTATATAGAAAAACATGAATACACCCGACTCTCACTAAGTGTAAAGAACTCACTTCAAAAAGGTGTAAAGTATGTTACAGAACTGACAATTCCGACAAGTGAAACCCTCGATTTTTAGTGCTTCTGCAAATGGAGTACTATGAGTTTAAGATATCCGACTGTGGTATTCAAGGTTTTTAGTGCACCAAAATGTGGAACACTACGATTATCATTGTGCTCCGGTACAGTAAAACTAATACCCGTATCCGTGTTGTATATGCATTTTGAGAGGTATGGCATAAGAGAGGTATGTTATGAATAAAAACATCAATAAGCGACAATTTGTGTATAAAATGTAAATAAAATCGAAGATCTGTACTCATAATTAGTTGCCTTATATGTTTCCATTTTACATAAATGCGATATAGCGCTTAAACACGGTTTAGATTGCTTGCTCTGTTGTCATGATATCAAAACAACAGACAAAAACAAAAATCTATTGAATTGTCGCATCTTTTTGCTTATACATATAGTGCTGCTCAAAACATTTGCCACCATAACTGCAATGCAATAAAATGGGGGGGAAATAAGATGTAAATGGTTTTATAATTTTACTTATGTTTAAAATCCGTTAAATCTTTAAAAAGTCATTCTTCTAAATTATATACATATATATATATATATATATATATTCGGCCTGATTCAAAACATTTGCAACTACTTACTACACTTTATTTTTTCCTTGTCTATGGTAATATTTCGAGAGTTTTATAACTATAAAAAGAAGATCGGATACAAATTGACCTTATTGATGTTAATAAAGAAAAACAAAGCTATTTTATTGAGTTGTTGTACAATTAGTGGGCCAAAGTGCTATATTTCTAAAAAAAGTCGATAAAATGGCGGCAATGTATATAATGAGCAAATTAAGAAACAAATTATCGACGATTAAACAAAAATGGGTCCCAAAAAGAAACATCTGATTAACGAGATTGCTACTGATTAGAGTCAAGCTCAACAGGGTCTTCTTTCCCCGCTAATTATTCCAAGCCCGTTCCCTTGGCTGTGGTTTCGCTAGATAGTAGATAGGGACAGTAGGAATCTCGATAATCCCTCATATAATATCGAAAAATATAAAAAATCACTTCAACTGAATATATCCACGCAAAGGATCAGGGGTAGAGCCGTATAATTTGGACTTCGAGCATAAAGAACTATAAGAAACCATTAATTTCCAAGAAAAATAGGTTAGCTCGTCTACAGTTTTCAAAAAATGGTATGTGCAGAAGTGGAAATATGTTATCTTTTCTGTTGAATCAAATTAAATTTGCACAGTTCGGATTCAGATGTCTGATGCGTATGCCAAAAGGCGAAAGTCTCGACAGTTTACTACGTAAAAATGTTTTTTTTTTCATTCAAAACCCTTGCTGTTACCTTATATATATACATATATAAGGATGTAACAGCAAGTGTTGTTGTACAACAAACGATACAACGACCACATGGAAATTTGTTGTTGGAAGTACTACTAGTGTCAACGCCATTTAATCAAAATATTTAAACAAAACACACAAATTATAAAAAAATGTTTATTTAAAAGCCGAAATATCTTGGAATCCTCAAATCCACGATGCATATGGCCACATTACGCCAGATAAAATATTTTGGTAATCTTCTGACCTTGCAATTCCAGTGATTTTATGAATCGGATCAATTCCTTGTCCGGAAAAAGACCCCCATACCATAATTTTGCCTCCGCTCTGTTTCACAGAACCTTTTGTATATCTTTTGTCTATACTTTCGCCTTTTAGCCATTTATTAGTATTCCGTTCGAATTAGTTCGATTCCAATCATTCAAGAACATGCTGTTAATATAATCATTTTTGATTTTTACTTTAATGTTAACATAAGTTGGAGTGTATATAAAATGTGTCATTCCGTTTGCAATATCCACCCATAATGTATATACATATATTCTTGATCAAAATAAAATTTTATGTCGATTTATACATGACCGTTTGTTGAATCGCTATAGAGCTCTCAATATTGACTGTAATTTTGTATGATGGGTTTTGATTGGGCGGCATATCTTCCTGCCAAAACTTATTACGATAGCCCCGATATAACAGTACCCCCACATAGTCGTAGTTTTGGGATTTTTGTACGTTTTTAAACCAAATTGGCTGTATGTTGATATTATGTGTATTCATTGTGTGCAGATTTAAATAATTTAAAAAAGACACGCAGAATCCATTTTAAATTATGTTTTTGTGAAAAAATTATATTTTTTTTCATACT